CTCTTCTTTCCTCTCCCTGTTGTCCTCCTGCCCTTCACACCTGGCCTCCCTTGTCCTCGCTCCGCTCCTCTCGCCCCCCCTCACTCTCCCTCCCTTTGCCCCAGCAAGTACCAGGTCTGGCTGGGTCGCCACAACCTGTTTGACGACGAAGACACAGCTCAGCACATCACCGTCAGCAAGGGCTTCCCTCACCCGCAGTTCAACATGAGCCTCCTGGGCCCGCACCCCAGCGACCCCCAGGACGACTACAGCCACGACCTGATGCTGCTGCGCCTGAAGGAGCCCGCGCGGATCACGGACAGCGTGCAGGTCCTGCCGCTGCCCAGGGAAGCAGCCATGGTGGGAACTGAGTGCCTGGCCTCAGGCTGGGGCAGCACGGACCCAGATGCCACCCAGCGTAAGTCAGGGCCAGACCACGAGGCCTGAGGCAACACCTGCATCCAACGGAGGTGGGGAGGGGGACCTGCTGGCTCTGGACACAGCCCCTTCTCGCCCTGGCCTGCAGCGGCGTACCCAGACGATCTCCAGTGTGTGGGCCTCAAGATCCTGGACAACGAGGACTGCGCAAATGCCCACGTCGCCAAGGTGACAGACAGCATGCTGTGTGCCGGGCACCCGGAAGGCGGCAAAGACACCTGTGTGGTAAGCCAGCCCCGCCCTGCCTCGGCTTCTCACCTGGGGTTTGAACGCTAAGCTGGCTTCTGCTGCCCACCTCCCTCTTCCCTTTCCACATCCCCATCCCTGCGCCTGCTGCATGGCCCTGTCCCTGCCCACCGCTGCGCACTGGCTGCTCAGAGAAGGCCTCCGGGACCAGGCCGTCCAGAGCCCAGGTGAGGGTCCGCAGCCGACCCGCTCCTTCAGCTGCTCTGTCTGCACACCATCCGCTCTGCTGGACCCAGTGGGCTCCTGTGTCCCAGGGCCAAAGCTGAGCTTTCAGCTGGAACACGGCTGCAGACCTCAGTCCTCGCCCTCTGTGGTCCCCAGGGTGACTCAGGGGGCCCCCTGGTCTGTGATGGCGTGCTGCAAGGGATCACATCATGGGGCCACAACCCATGTGCCCTCCCCGGGACGCCCGGCATCTACACTGACGTGATACAGTACCTAGAGTGGATAAATGAAACCGTAACAAAAAATTCCTGAGCACCCTGCCCTGTCCCTTCCTCCCTTGCTCCCAATAAAACCAAATATGCTTCACATGAGCGTCAAGTTCTGGCACCGTCTGGCCCTCCGTACCCGGGGCTCCCCTTGGGTCGCTCTGGGCTGAGGCGAACCCACCCTTGTGGCTCCCAGTTGTGTGGTCCTGAAAAAGTGAGGAAGGGCAGAGGGCTAGACACAGAGGGAAGGAAAAAGCTCATACCCCACCGGGCAAGCAGGGAGGCAGGCCAGTTCGCCACACGGCCCCCCACCTGGCCCTCAAGAAAGGCGAGGGAGGTGGAGGATCTCAGCTCGAGGTTGGACGGTGCCTGCCTTTTATTGTGGAGGGGAAGCCAGGAAGCGGGTGGAAGGACGTTTTCACAAGCCATGCCCTAAACGGGGAAGAGCCCGTTCCTCAGAAGTGCGGGATACACCAATTGCTAGATGGCCCTGTATCCACCTGGGACAGGTGTGAACAGCTGAGGTGGAGGTGGGACTGGATCTCCGCCGAAGAAGTTCTGATGACTATCCTGCAGCTGACGGGACAGAGTTGCTTAGGAGCGTGGGCTGGGCACCGGGATGGGGCCACACAGTCCAGCCATTCGGCCTGGGCTCAGGGAGCAGAAGGTCCACACCTCGGGTGTCAGGGTGTCAGCTGGGAGGGGCCGAACCGAGGAGCCAGTAGGACTTCCTTCCGGGGTGGGGCCTATGGAGACGCAGTGGGCGGGGACAGGGCTCAAGGGGCAGGCAGGGCCAGCTGTCCTCAGAGCGCATGGCCTCAAGGGAAGCCTAGCCACCGGATGTGACGGATGTGACGGTACTGAGAGCGGTGGGGCGGCATCCGGTTGTGTTTACCAATCCGTGTCCTGAGGAGCTAGGGTGTCACTCCTTGGAGGGTCTTTGGGCTCCTCCTGGCTGACGGCAGGATTGGGCAGGACCCAAGCGTGCCCAACGGTCTCGTATGTGCCCTTCTGCTGGGATCCCTGCAAGCGGGGCGCTGTGGCATAAGGTCCACCGGCGATAGCTCATTCGCCACTCGGTGGCGTACTCCTCCATGCTCCACATCCCCGCTTGGTTTAAGTAGGACACGGCTCCTGGGAGGAGGGGTTCGGCGGCGCCGGACTCTAGGCCTCGCCCCAAGCCCCGCCCCGTCCAGCCGGGCTGGCCCCGCCCCTCCCGCTCCACCCTGCCCTGCCCTGGCCGGGCCCTCACCCGAGCACAGCATCAAGCCGCAGGCGCACCAGCACAAGTAGAAGGCCTGCTGGTAAAATATCCGGGGCCTCGGTTGTATCATCTTACAGTTGACTATAAAGAGCGTCAAGCTGAGGAGAATCAGGAGCCCTGTACTGGGGTGGGGCCAGAGACGGACAGGAGGCTGGACATTGACTCCTGGACACCCAGTAAGAGAAAGCAGACAGCCTCTCCTACCCTCCAGGCAGAGAAACACTCGCAGACAAACGTGACGGACTGAAAGGTGCCGGGAGATAAGGGGAATAAACAGGAAGTGGGAAGGAGATCCGATGCACACACCGTCAGCCTGAGCGGCCGGCCGCGGGTCACTCACCAATGCTGATGCTGAGGGAACTGAAGACCGAGTCGATCTTGTTCAGGCGGTGGAACACTGACCAGAAGGAGAGGCCCATGCAGGGGAGGAGGAATATGCACAGGGCCAGGGCCAGAATCATGAAGCCCTGGCTCATGTGGATGAGAACTGGGAGGGGGTGAAAACGTCCACGGTCATCAGAGATTCCAGGCCCGGCAGACGCGGCCGCAGTCTGGCACCAACACCCTCCGGCTGCCCCGCTCGAGTCGCCCAGGTCACTCCCCCGCAGAGGCAGCCTCAGACATGGGAGAGAATCCTAGACAACCCTCCCACACCCCAGAGCTCCCGAGCTCCTCGCCCAGGGGGATGGAAGGAGACCCCCACTCACCAGTAACCCGGCCTAGGCTGGCGCACTTGTGCCTCTTGCAGTCAGTCCAGAAGCGCACGTAGCCAGTGTAGGGGCCCTGCACGTAGGCCATCCGCCCCTCGATCATGCTGAACAACATCAGGGTTGCGAGGATGCTGAAGATGAGAGACCAGATCCGCAGGACGATCTTGCGATCCTCCTCCCAGGAAAAGACCAAGTGCACTGGGAAAGAACAATTGCGGGGGTGGGGGTGGACCTTTCACCCTCCCCAGTCGCAGCCACGTCTCCATCCCTGCCCAGACTTTATCTTCCGCCCCTTCAGAATCCCCTCCCCGTGGCTGTCTCCCATCCCTGCCCAGTCCCAACCGCAGCTCGTCCCCACTCTACCTGTCCCATCCCCAACTCCACCTCACTCCACTACCACGCATAACCCACCCACTCACATTACTTCCCTGCCTAAAGCCCAAATACAGCCCCACGCCCATCCCCACGCCAACCCTAAGCCATTCTGAGCTCCGACTGCCAGTTTTGTCTTCAGTCCCGTCCTCTGGTTCCTGTTCCCGAAACATCAACTGTGTCTCTAACATCTTCGCCTTCCATGCCCCTCATCTCAGTCCAAGGCACAGACGACTGTGACACAGGTCTGCTCGTGAGGGCACGAACCTTGGGTTCAAAGCAGGGACACAGACGGCGCCTCCCATATTCGCCAAGTGCCTGTGATCCGTCAGTCTCCCCTGTGCACTTACCTCCAGCCACACCAAGCTTCCCAGGGTCTCCACCTCGGGCCTTGACGCAGTTCTGGCTGCTGCCTCTCTCCAGAACACAAACTGTCCAGCCCACCCTAACCGTCCTTAAGGCCCCACTTCCACCCCTGAGTCCTGACCCCCACAACTCAGTTCCTGCTTGGGCAGCCGACTGCATGGTGCACGGTGCAAGGTGTTTCTCCTGGTGTACCACGACCTTGGGATTAAGTACTTGCCTAATTACATCTTACCTACTGATCTTCCTCTACAACAGACTTCCAGGAGGTTAGGAAACAAATCCATTTCATTTTATGCCATACTCGCATCACCAGGTACAGAGCCTCTGACCTTTGTTAAGTGAAAGGAGTACTGAAGGGACAAATGGGTAAGCGAGCGACTACATTAATGATGCCCAATAATAATCATTTCCTTCTCATCCTCTGTGGTGCAGGTAAGGTGGGTTTCAGAGAAAGCTGGGCGCATGGGCCTGGAATTCAGGAAAGAGTATGGATGGAAACAGAAACTAGAGTTGATGTCAGCAGCTATGAAGTGTAGAGCTCAGCAGGTCTCCATTACATGGGGATCTAAGTGCCTGTGTGTGTTATTCACTGTCTTGCCTCACAGCAACCCTCTGAATGGTTGTCAGTTCCAGGGATAAACAGACTTAATAGAGAAGTTAAATGGTGTGCTGAGGTCACACAGCTGGCATGGGCAGAGCCGTGATTCCAACCTGGGTTACCTAGTCTCAGATAACGGCTGGAAACCACACTGCCTTTCACACACACTGTGCGAACAGCTCCTGCACAGACGCACAGAGACAAATGCTCGAGGTGGACAGGGTCAAGGGGAAGAACAGGCTGTTCAAAGTCTGTCAACATATGAAAAGATGGCCAGTCTCATCAAAGCAATGCAGTCAAACAAACAGAAAAGAACCATTAACTTACACCTTGGAGTAGCATGGAGCAAAGCAAACAAAAACACCCAAGCAGAGGAGGGCTGTGTATCTGCCACCCCTGGATGTTACATAAATGGATTTAATGTTTTCAGACAGTTTGGTGGCAAGAAACTGATAGGAAAAAGAAAGTTCAGGCTTGGCATAACTGCGATGGAGGTGCTAGCAACACTTTTTACGATTCCTCTTTCAACTGGGGAAACAGGCATACAGCAGACACGTGACAGGCATAGCACGAGGGCCAGAACTGTGAGGGCACAAAACCCAGACCGCTGTGGGCTGGCCAGTCAGCAGTGCACCCAAGGAAAAGGAGACAGAATTCATGCTGCGTGTGTGTGTGTGTGTGTGTGTGTGTGTGTGTGTGCGCGCACACATGTGAGGGAGCTGTGGATGAGTGGGTGGGTAGATGCATGGATACAGTAGAATATAGAGAGAGACATGGATATATCTGCAGATCTTGCAGATTTTCCTTCTCCTCTCTTGTACAAATCCTATTTGTGCTTTTTCTAGATGAAGTTGATTCATTAGTTTTCCTTGTTATACAAAGAAAATCACACATTAGAATTACCTATGTGTGCTGGAGAGATTCTTTGACAGTAAACATCAATACCATCCTTTGAAAGTGTGTTCTACATAGCCCTGTTTTCTAAGAAATTACCCTATGAAAATAACAAGAATGGAACTAGAAGCTGGGTGCAGTGATGCACATCTGCAATCCCAGCACTGGGGAGGCTGAGGCAGGAGGATCACTGTAAGCTCAATGCCTGCCTGAGCTATGTGGTGAGTTTCAGGCCAGCCTAAACTATGTAGCAAGACCCTCTCTCAAAAAAAAAAATGATAAACATTAAAATGCCTATTAAGAATAGCACCTGACTAGTCATGGTGACACACACCTGTAATTCCAGCAACTGGGCAGAAGGATCACTGTGAGTTTGAGGCCAGCCTGGGCTACATAGTTAGTTTAAGGCCAGTCTGAACTCTACAGCAAGATCCTCTCTCTAAAAAACACACACACAATTAGTTGATTAATTCAGGACACAAGGGTATCCGCTCTCACCACTCCTATTCATTACAGTACTTGAAACTTTAGCCCAAGCAATCAAACAAGAGAAAGAAGTAAATGGGATAAAAATTGGAAAGGAAGAAGTCAAATTACCCTTATCCTCAGGCAACATAATTCTGTATTTCTAAAACCCTAAAGACTCCACATGCACAAAAAAAAAATTTAAAACTGATAAATTCAGCAGAGTAGCAGAGGATAAAATCAACATTTAAAAATCAAAAACTTTTCTTTACACTAATATTGAACTAGCTGAGAAAGTCAGGAGAACAATTCCACCCAGGACAACTTCAATAAAGAAAATATGTAGGAATCTCCCTGACCAAGGAGGTGTAACAACAACAACAACTCTACAATGAATGTTATGGAAAAATGAAGAAAGAAACTGAAGAAGGCATTAGAAGACGGAAAGACTTCACATGTTCATGGATCAGCAGAAAACTGTTAAACAGCCATATTAATCTACAGATTGGCCTGGTGTGGTGGCACACACCTGTATTCTAGCAGTCAGGAGGAAGAGGCAGGAGGATCGCCATGAGTTTGAGGCCAGCCTGAGCTATATAGTGAGTTCAGGGTCAATCAGAACTATAAAGCAAGACCGTGTCTCCAAGTAAATAAATAAATCTACAGATTGAATGCAATCCCTCCAAATACTCATGACATCCTTCAGAGACTGAAATTCATATGGAAACATGAGTGATCCCGAGTAGCCAAAGCAGTCCTAAGCAAAAAAAAAAAAGCAAGGCTGAAGACATCACAACACCCAATTTCAAATTATACGACAAAGGCTCGGTGTGGTAGCTCACACCTGTAATGCCAGCACTCCAGAGGCAGAGGCAGGAGGGTCACCATGAGTTGAAGGCCAGCCTAGGCTACATAGTGAGACCCTGAGGTGAAAAAACAAACAGAAAAATAAAACAAATTATACTTCAAAGCCACAGTAACAAAAACAACAAAGATGACATATTGACTGATAGAGGACACAGAAACAAACTTGTACAACCATTGCCATCTGATTCTTAACAAAGAAGCCAAAAATATATGTTGGAGAAAAGATAGCCTTGTTAGTAATCGTGCAGGGGAACCTGGATATCCCACCATATAGCCTTGCTACGTGCCTCCCTCCCTGTTGGAGAGATATTAGCTAAGCAGCTAGGCTTGTAATCCTACAGACTGTAGTTTGACCCATAGCTACCCAAGTTGTGGTTTTTCTGTATAAAATATCCATGGACAAAGAGCCTTGGCAGCAGCCCACTTGAGGGGCCCTGCTGTCCCTCAGCAGCTTTCTCTCAATAAACCTTTCCTACTCTTAACCTCCTTTGTCCTCAGGCCCATTTTTCAGTATCAGGAGACACAAACTCAGCACATCTGACATCTAACAGGTTGGGTGTTACCCTCCTGTGACAAGGCCACAATTCTGTCGAGAGCAAAAGCTTTAATTACAGTCTTGCAAATGCGTTTCGAGGACAGTGAAAGGCTCTCACTTTTACTTATGTATGACATAGGCCTGAAAGAACAGCAAAGGCCACCGTGATAAGAAGTGAGACCGTGAGAGATTCAATGTTTTCAAGTTTGCAAGTTGTTGGGTTTCAAATGGCAAGAGGAGAAGACTTTCTGGCTGGATGCTGCTAAGTCACTGTGCGACCCTTAACCATGCTGTGACTGTCCGACCTCCAGGCTGGCAACTGAGTCCTCTTCCTGAACACGTCTGCTGCATCCCCTCTTGTCAGGATGGAAGCCTGTTTAATTCTTTAAGCTCAAAGCCTGTGATGATCTTCAGTGGCTTCGTGGGACTACCTCCTGGGTACTTGCCAACTACAGATTAATTTCAGTTGTTTAGCCCCAAGAAAATAGTCGAGGAAAAATAAATAAATAAATAGTCAAGGAATATGGATTTCTATGAGTCTTCCAATGGGCTGACTCAGTTTAAATTTATTTGCAGATGAATTGGTTTGTGATTGATATTTTGATGCAAATTATAGGACACAAGAGGCTCTTTAAAACTACTAGAAAGGCTGGGGATTTAGCTCAGTGGTTCTGCCACCTGCCTTCCAAGCGCAAGGTCCCGAGTTAGATCCCCAGTACCAAAAACAAACAAATAAACTCTACTACAGAAATCATGCCAAAAAAATTAGTAGACAGCCAGGCATGGTGGTGCACACCTGTAATCCTAGCACTTGGGAGGCTGAGGCACGAAGATACATGAGTTCAAGGCCAGCCTGGGCCACATAGCAAGAGCCTGTCTCAAAAATCCAAAAATAATGATTGATGATGATGATGATGATGATGATGATGATGATGATGATAAGTAAATAAAAGCTACTCCAAAATGTGATCTATTAAAACAGGTATTTTAAAAAATCAGTAGATGCTGGGATTTGGCTCAGTGGTGCTGCCACCTACCTCACAAGAGCAAGGTCTTAAATTCTATCCCCAGTACCAAAAAAAAAAAATCAGTATATATGATCATATTTGCCTCTGTGCAATGACTGCAAGGAAAAAAACAAAAGTTAAACTATTCTGTTTTGTTATCTACACCAGGAGAAACAGAGCCAAAGACTAGATATGAGGACTGGCCTCAGATAGTACTCAGTAATGAAAATTGAGATGAGAGAAATAATCCAAATGCAGTGAGAACCAACTTCGATTCAAATAAAGCTGTTTGAACCTCAAAAACAAACCACGCTGACATTTCACCTCACCTCAGTCATGAGAGCTATCAACAAGAATACAAAACACCAGCTGGGTGTGATGGTACAAGCCTGTAATTCCAGCACTCTAGGAGGCTGAGACAGAACTGCAGGTTCAAGGCCAAGCTGGGCAGTTAAGCAACTTAGTGAGAACCTAATCTGAAAAGAAAAAGGCTCAGTGTGAAGGCCCTGAGTCCAGTCGCTAGCACTACCAAAAATAAAACACGAAATGGAGTGCTAGCGAGGATATGAGGGCAAAGCAACCCAAATACACTACTGGTAGGAATGCAAATTAGTACACGAACGATGGAAATCAGTATGGAGGTTCCTCAAAAACCTAAAAATAGAACTAGCATAGGACCCAGCCCTACCCTTCCTTGGTATTAAACCAAAAGAATTAAAATCACCATATCATAGTGTACCTGGATATCCATGCTTATTGTGGCACAATTCACAATAGCCAAGATATGGAACAACTTCAGGTCCCCATCAGTGGATGAATAAAGAAAATGTGATTCATATCACGGAGTATTATTCATCCATAAAAAAGAAAATCATGTCATTTGCAAGAGAATGGATGGACCTAGAGATCATCATGTTAACTGAAATAAGCCAGATGTGGAAAGACAAGTATAAGGTATCAGTTTTCCCTAACCTGTGTAATCTAATTTTAATAAAAGTTAGCATGAGGGCCGGGGATTTAGCTCAGTGGTGCTGCTGCCAGCCTCACAAGCGCAAGGACCCGGGTTCAATCCCCGGTACCAAAATAAAAAAAGTTAGCATGAAAGTAGAAGGGAGACTACTATCAGATAAGAGAAAGGGGAGTAAGGGTGGGGAGAGAAGACTGTAAGGGAGGATAAAGGGAGATATGATCAAAATATGTTATATGCATGTATGTAAATACCAATCAAAATATGTTTAAATCTAATAATAGCAATGATCATATAATTTACAATGTACAAAAGTTTGTGGAGTTGGTTTCTTTTTTTTTTTTTCCTGAGACAGGGTCTCGCTATATAGTTCAGGCTGGCCTTGAACTCACTATGTACCACAGGCTGGCCTCAAACTCCTGGCAACCCTCCTGCCTCAGTCTCTCCAGCGCTGGGATTACGGGCATGCACTACCACCCCTGGCTTGGAGCTGGTTTCTTGCAGGGTCACTACAAAAGCTAAAGGAAAGCATAAAGGCACAGTGATCTGGGAAGTCCCCACTCCGCCCCACAGAAGAGGTTAACACAGCTGGGTACCTGCACCTTGCAGACCTCCGTCCATCACTCGTCAAGCTGTGGCTGGGTCTTCCTCCTCTTCCCGGCTGGAGTTGGCGGATCCTCGAGAGCAAGGATCAGCAGTCCAGTCTTCTGTGAGCCCCCAGAGAAGGTGGATGGAGACAGACAGAGGAGGAGAGGCACAGAACTAGAGAAGGGGATAAAAGGACGAAACCGATTCAGAAGAGGCCCTAGGAGGGGTAGGGAAAGCAGCAGGAGGAAGAGAGAATCATATGGTCAGATCGCAGGCTCCCCGAGCCTGGTCCGTCTCGGACTCATCTGCCTCCACCCAGACCCCACCCTGGACCTGTCCTGCACTCTCACTGGCCCAGCAGAACCCTTCTTGACCCAAGCTTGACTCTGCGCAAACCCTACATGGGTTTACCCTGCCCAGGCCTTGCCCCCACATCACTCACGAAGGATAGGATGGAGTCTGAGGCCATGGCCAGACTCCCAACCTCCTAGAACCCCTCCAACTGTCATAGAACCTCCCTCCTGGCCCCAGCTGCAGGCCAGGTTGAATCCCTGAGCTCTGACCTTCAACAGCAAGAGGACCAGGAAACATACAGACAAAGAGAGACGAAAATGCCAAAGAATCAAGCTTAAACCCTGGAGAGAAGCCACAGATTTTCCAGGTGGCCATGGAGGCACCTAGAAGGAGGAACTGAGGCTGTTAGCAGACTGAGGGCCTGGCCCTTCCCTGCGCTTCCACATGTCTGAGAAGTCCCAGTCTAACCTGCAGAGCACTCAGCCATCAGCTCCCAGCAACACCCAAGATGAGTTTGATGGCTCTCTGCCAATTACCCATAGCCCCCAATTCACTACCCTACACCCTATACCCACTGTCCAGAGCCAACAAGTCAGTTCCCCAAAGACTCCACTGGCCCCCAGCACTCGCCAGATCAGTATCCAAACGCTTCCACCAGCTGTCACCACCCGGCCCATCCGTCTCCAAGAGCCTTCATCAGCTCTCCACAGCTACCAGCCCAGTATCGAAGAATCTCCACCAAGTGTCCACAGTCCCTGGGTCAGTATCCAAGAGCCTCCACCTGCTACCCATGGTCACAGGCTCAGTATCCAAGGACCTCTACCTGAGACCCACAGTAGCCGGGTCAGTGTGGAAGAGGCTTCACCCGCTACCCGTGGTCGCAGGGTCAGTATCCAAGAGCCTCCACCTGCTACCCGTGGTCATAGGGTCAGTATCCAAGGACCTCTACCTGAGACCCACAGTAGCCAGGTCTGTGTGGAAGAGGCTTCACCGGCTACCCGTGGTCGCAGGGTCAGTATCCAAGAGCCTCCACCTGCTACCCATGGTCATAGGGTCAGTATCCAAGGACCTCTACCTGAGACCCACAGTAGCCAGGTCAGTGTGGAAGAGGCTTCACCGGCTACCCGTGGTCGCAGGGTCAGTATCCAAGAGCCTCCACCTGCTACCCATGGTCATAGGGTCAGTATCCAAGGACCTCTACCTGAGACCCACAGTAGCCAGGTCAGTGTGGAAGAGGCTTCACCCGCTACCCGTGGTCGCAGGGTCAGTATCCAAGAGCCTCCACCTGCTACCCGTGGTCATAGGGTCAGTATCCAAGGACCTCTACCTGAGACCCACAGTAGCCAGGTCAGTGTGGAAGAGGCTTCACCCGCTACCCGTGGTCGCAGGGTCAGTATCCAAGAGCCTCCACCTGCTACCCGTAGTCGCCGGCTCAGTGGCCAAGGGCCTCCAACAACTGTCTTTAGTCATCAGCTGAGTATCCAAGAATCTCCACCAGATATCCACAGTCGCCAGCCCAGTATCCAAAAATCTCCACTAAATGTCCACGGTTATGAGCTCAGTCTTGAAGAATCTCCTCCCCTGGACCATATTCATTCAGCTTGCCACCTCAGCCAATCCAATATCTGCCTGACATCGACTCAGACTCCCGGCTTCACAAACAAACAAACCCGGCCCATTGTCCATATCCCCCCATCCATTACCCAGAGCCCCACAGCCAGCATTGACAGCATTGAATCCATTAACTGGAACTCCCAAGCCCTTTCCAAAGAAAGCACGCTCATCTCCCAACTCAACCAGACCAGTCCTGATGACACGCCCAACTTGTCAGACAGTGCCACTGGCATCGATTCCAAGAGGTGAGAGGCAGAGATCCAGCAGCAAGCCACGTTCTGGGTTACAGTTCTGGGGATGGGCAGCAGTCAAAGGTCAGGGCCCAGAAACATGGCCGGTGTATCAGGATGGAGGTGTGACAGGTCTTGGAAGCTGGGTGGGGATAGCACAAGGCAAGACCTGGGAGGCACAGGGCGTGGTGGATGGATGCAGGGCAGCCAGAGGCTCGGAACGATGGCTGGACGTAGAGCTGACACGGCGGCGTATGATCTGATGCAGGTTTCAGAAAAGCAGTAGCCGTCAGGTACGGCTGCCCATATGCTGGCGCCTGCTGCATGAGGCCAGGAAGATCGGCCGCCAGCTGAGCCTGGTCCTGAACCTGGCTGGCCTGGTAATCATCAGTCTCATCTCTCTGGGCCAGCCCTGGATGCACTTCCAGGTGCCACTGACGCCCCCTGGGCACCCTGCTGGCTCCCCGACCGTGCCCATTGACACCGTCCTCTTTGTGGCGTGTTCCGACATCTCCTGCCTGAAGGAGTATGACCAGTATGCTTGTAAGGCCTGTTCTGCCCTCACCACTCCTGGGAGCCCCCTCCTCTTTCCCCAGAGACCCCCCTCCTGTCCCGGAATGGTTTCTCCTTCCTCTGGGATGGCCCTCACAGCTCCGAGGTGATGATCACCACCCACCCTATTTCCTGCTGCCCAGAAACCCAACCTCACCGCCCCAGATGTGTACCCTGGAGGGTTTGGCTTCAGCGCTCTTTCTTTACAGCCCAATTTCAACCTTCCTAGCATGAGAGTAACTTTCACAGGAGAGGGTTGGAGAAGATTCCCAGACTTGCTGGTGATGCTCTCCCCAGTTCTCAGAGCTGGAAAGTGCAGTCTGGCACTCCTGATTCTCTCCCTTCTGCAGACTTGCTGGACCTCGCCTGGGCCTTCTTCTTCTTCTCCAGCATCACCAGCTTCTGCCTCTGTGTGGCCCTAGGACTCCTCATCTTCTTCTCCAATTCCAACCTGCCCTTGCTGGACTTCTTACTCTTCGTCGGCAGCATCATGACAGGCACAGCATTAAGACCTTTTCCTCAGGAACCAAGACAGAGCGTACCTCACCAGTGTCAATCATGAAACACTACCCCATCCACATCCTCACCCTCACCCTCAACCCCAACCCTCTCCTTACCCATATCCAACCCATCCCACCTCCAGGTCCAATACCAACTTCGACTTTAACTCCCATTTCCATTGCCAACAAACCTCCAGCTCATCCACATTCCCTTCCCTGATGTCTATTTGATTCTCTCTTCTTTTCAAACAGAACCTATTATCATCCCCAACTTCTTCACAAATCTCAATGCACCATTTAACCTCATGGGTTAAACACTTATTTCAAATTCAGTCCAACCCTATCCCCTGAGAATTTCAACTTCCCACTCAGCCCCAGTCCACCCCTGGCCTCCTCTTCTCCTTGGTCCCAAACTCCACTCCATCACCTGTGAACCGCACTCTTGAAATCAGCCCAAAATATTCCCAACTCCTTCCTGCTACCCATATCCAATCCATCCTCTTCCCTTACACAGCCCATTGGCCTCCTCACCCATCCTCACTCCAACACAACCTCTACTCAGTATCCTCCCAATCCTGTCCCACCACCACAACTGTTCTGTTATTTGGTGCAAGCTACTTCATCTTTCTGAGCCAGTGTTCCCATCTATAGGATGGGGATAAATTTTCTACAAGGTAGAGATATAAAGAAGATTGAATTAGAAAATGTCAGTACTTGGGCCGGATGTGGTAACATATGTCTTTAATCCCAACTACTTAGGAGGCTAAGGTGGGAGGATCAAAAGTTCAAAGCCAGCCTGGGTGGTTTTGCTAGACTTGGTCATAAATAAAATATAAAAAGGGGTGGGAATGGAGTTCAAGGCCAGAACACTTGCCTACCATGAATGAGGCCCTGTATTCAATCTTTCTTTATTACTGAAAAGAAAGAAAGAAAATGTCAGTACTTGGATATGAGGGCGATATGGCCATAACACCCACCACCCCACTGATCGCCAGAGTTGGTTTGGCTAATCTTGCCACTTAGATAAATGTCCCAAATGTCCCCTGCCTCCCTCACTGGTCCATCTGCGTCCCTCCGAAAGCTGCACCCTGTTCTGAGAACCATTCTCCAGTCAAAAGTGTATGAGTAGTGCGCTCCCTGCTAGAGCTCTCAGGCTGCATGTGTAGGGGAACACGAGCTAGCCAAACTTCCAAGACTGCAGACACAGCAAACAGGGCACTGCAGGTGCTAATCAGCCTTTCAAAAAAGGGAAAGATGTCAGTACTTGATGTTGCAAAGATCCTTCCCATGCTAACCCTCTCAACTCCACCCAAATACACAAAATTGATATGCTTATTAGAATAATCTAGTTTTGCAACTTGTGAGCCAACACTGCAAAAGGGGAGGGAGGTTTTAATTTAGAAATGAGGGATGTTATTGTCCTATCCCCTGTAGTAATTGATAACAACTTTTGTTAACAAATTTTGGAGAGTGATAGTATGGCCTAGAATAGAGAACAGTCAAATTCCTGTTTCCTGGTATTTATGTAGTTGGTATAAAAAGTCTTACTATTTGTTTAAATATAAGGTGCAAAGGATAGAAAGCACCATGCAAACCAGGTCATTCTCTAAGAATTCATTTACACCCTCTCCTTGTTTTATGTACACAGAAAGCACCTGTGTTTTGTTTTGTTTTTTCCCTTCGGTACCAGGGATTGAATTCAGGACCCTGTGCTTGCGAGGCAGGCACAGTGCCACTGAACTAAATCCCCAGCCCTTCTGTGTTATTATTAAATAACACAAGACAAAGAACTCCACAATCTGAAAAAGAAAAAAAAAAGTATTTTCCTTTACCTAAATTGTCTTTAATTCCTGTAATTTCAAAATAACCAGAATGATTGGGCTCTTTGTCCATTACTTCAGAAGCCAAATATTAAGGACGCAATGTAATGATAATCTATCTCAATTACTGAGGACCAGGTACAGGAAGTGTGCTGATTTCAATACCGCTACACGATGGCCCTGTGAGATAATCCTAGGAGTCTGTCACTCTACAGATGCGGGGACTGAAGTTCAGAGAGATGATGTGGCTTCCTAAGGGGAGGGGTCGAGATAAGATGAGAAACCTGGTCCGCGGGTCCCAAAGCCTATGGATGTAGACATTATCAGTACTCCATTAAAGACAAAGGCTTGCACTTCCAGTGTGTTCTAGCATGGTGTTGTCAAGAGCCCACTTTTCTGCTTGAGGCCGAGGTATGGGATTGGGAAGGTTAAAGAGAGCGGGGAAATAATGAGCAAGAACCAACCAGCCACACAACTACAAGCAGACACCTGATTCCTGGCCTCCTAACATCTGTGCTCACACAGGGACCAGCATTGCACTGGGTGTCCTGTTCTACCTGTGGCAGGCTGACAGGTACCTGCAAGAAGGCATGACATACAGGCTCGGGATCAGCTTCTACCTGGCATGGATTGGCACCTTCCTGTTCCTGATGACTGGTGTGGGCTGCAAGGAGTTGGGTTTGGGCATACCTTCTGGGATGCAGATAGGTATTTTGTGGACTAGAATTGAGGGTCGGTGGCCGGGGATTTAGCTCAGCGGTTCAGTGGCCTGCCTTGCAAGCGCAAGGACCCGAGTTCGATCCCGGTACCAAAAAAAAAAAAAAAGAATTGGGGGTAGGGGTGGGGTTGCAGACAGGGATAAGTAGGGTGAATGTGTGATGTGGGGGACAGGGTTAGGGTGTACACGGGGCTGGATGTGGAAATGGGGTTGGGTTCGAATTTAGAAGTAGACTGGAGGTGATGTAGGCAGTGGAGGTGAGTCTGGATCTGGGGATAGGCGAGGCGAGGTGGCTTTGGGGATGACGTGAGACAGCACAGGGCATGTGGTTAGAGTTGGGCTAGCAAATCCTGTCTCACCACCTGCGCACTCTTCCTCACACAGGTTTCCTCTCCTACCTAAATTACATGAATTTCTGGTCTATCCTGGCGCTCCAGGCCGTCTGGACTTAGGACGCAGGAATGACCCACTACCATGCATGGCTCCTCATCAAGCACCTGCTCCAGCGCCATCCCCTCCAAGAGCCTTGTACTTTTTCAGCCCCCCTGACACTCCTCATTCCAGATAATAAATGATTTTTTTAAATAATTGTATTTTCTGCCTAGAATATTCCTTTATTTAACTTTGCATCTTGGAAGCATTTTGTGGAAATGCCATCCCTTTCTTCTGCCTATCTTTGGGCCATCTGGAAGAGAAGGGCAGGAGAGGAAGGCGAGGAGCTCTGACATGAGGGACCCAGGTCAACAAGGGACTCAGGTAAAGAATCAAGGACATGGGTCCCTGGCATACAGGTAGTGCTCAGTGTTTGCTGAAGAGCTGCTTCTCTCCCATTCCCCTTTCTTTCAGTCTTTCCTTTTACAAACCCCAATAATTTATCCTTCCTGAAGAAAATCTCCCTCCTCCCTCATTTTATCTCCCCCTTTACCACCCCATCTTTCCTCTCCCTAAAGACTCTCAACAGAAACCTGTTCTGTGTAGCATCCTTTTAAGGAAGGTTTGGGGCTAGTGGAGAATCGTCTGTTGAACAGGACAGAGTCAAAACCCCACTAGAAAATTATATCGTCCCCAGGTATCCCTACAGGGCCATGGTTTGTAAGTCTGTCACCAGGCTGGGCCTAAGAGTCCCCAAGGCTGAAATAAGGAATCAATCTACCTTTTAAAAATAAGTTTGCACAGAATACAGAGGGTCATCAAGAAGACCATACACCCTGACCAAGTCGGATTTATCCCAGGGATGCAAGGATGGTTCGACATAGAAAAATCAATAAATGCAATACACTATATTAACAGAGTCAAGGACAAAAGCCACATGATCATCTCAATAGACGCACAAAAGCCATTTGACAAAATTCAACATCCACTCATGATAAAAACCCTGCAGAAAACTGAAACAGATGGTCTTTATCTCAACATGATAAAGGCTATCCATGAAAAACCAACAGCCAACATCATATTAAATGGCCAAAAACTGAAAACCTTCATGCTAAAATCAGGAACAAAGCAAGGATGTCCACTATCACCACTCCTGTTCAATATAGTTCTGGAAACGTTGGCCATAGTAATTAGACATGAGAAAGAAATTAAAGCAATAAAGATAGGAAAGGAAGAAGTTAAACTGTCATTATTTGCTGACAGTAGGATACTCTATACAGAAGACCCAAAAAACTCTGCCAAAAGACTACTAGACTTAACTGACACTTTCAGCAGAGTAGCTGGATACAAGGTCAACACTCAAAAATCAATAGCCTTCTTGTACACAAATAACAGGCTCACTGAGAGGGAAATTAGGGAAACAATTCCTCTCAAAAAAGCATCCAAAAAAATGAAGTATCTAGGAATCAATCTAATGAAGGAAGCAAAAGACCTCTACACTGAAAACTACAGCACTCTGAAAAAAGAAGTGGAAGAGGATAAAATAAAAGGGAAAGATATCCCCCGCTCCTGGGTGGGAAGAATCAGCAGAGATAAAATGGCCCTATTACCAAAACTGTTATACAGAGTCAATGCAATGCTGATAGAAATTCCAACAGTATATTTCATAGAACTAGAGAAAATAATACAAAAATTCATTTGGAACAAGAAAATACCTAGAAGAGCAAAAGCAATTCTAGGCAACAGAGATAGGCCAGGGAGTATCACAATCCCCAATTTGAAACTGTATTAAAAAGCCACTGTAATAAAAACAACATGGTACTGGCAAAGAAAAAGACCCGAGGATCAGTGGAATAGATTGGAAGACAAAGAAACAACTCCAGATGTACTCAGCTACCTCATCTTTGACAAAGGAGCCAACCTTCCTCAGTAGAGGAAAGATAGCCTCTTTAATAAATGGTGTTGGAAAAACTGGATTTCAACCTGCCAAAGATTAAAACTAGACCCTTAGCTCTCAACATCCACTAAACTAAAATCCAAGTGGTTTAAAGATCTAAATATTAAAACAGAAACACTGAACTTGCTGGAAGATAAGTTAGGTAGAAGTCTCGAAGACATTGGCATAGGAAAAGACTTTATGAACAAATCCTCAGCAGCACGGGAACTAGCACAAAGAATCAACAACTGGGATCTCATCTTACTAAAAAGCTTCTGTAATTCAAAAGAAACCATCAGCAGAACTAAGAGACAATCTACAATGTGGGGAAAAAATTTTTACCAGCTGTTCCTCAGACAAAGGACTATTATCAAGGATATATAAAGAACTCAAAACAATCAGTCCCCCCAAATATAAAGACCCGATTCAAAAATGGGCATCCGGAATGAACAGACATTCCTCAGACAAAGAAGTAAAAGCAGCAAGTAAATATATGAGAAAATGTTCCACATCACTGATCATTCGAGAGATGCAGATGAAAACAACACTGAGATTCCACCTCACCCCACAAAGAATGGCTGCTATCAAGAAATCACACAATAACAAATGTTGGCAGGGTTGTGGGAAGAAAGGAACCCTTCTCCATTGTTGGTGGGAGTGCAGACTGGTGCAACCACTATGGAAATCAATATGGAGATACCTCAAAGAGCTTGGACTGGAGGTTCCATTTGACCCAGCCATCCTTCTGCTGGGTATCTTTCCAAGAGAACTAAAAGAATCATATCACAGAGAAGTATGCGCACCCATGTTTATAGCGGCACAGTTTGTAATAGCTAAATCTTGGAAACAGCCCATTTGCCCATCCATTGGAAACTGGATAAAGAAGATGTGGTTTTTCTGTAAAATGGAATATTACTCAGCCATAAAGAATGAGAAAATAGATTCATTCATAGGAAAATGGATACATATTGAAGATATACTCCTAAGTGAAATAAATAAGTCACACATGTGTAAATACCGAATAGTTTCCCTGGTGTGAATAATCTGCAATAAAACATAAGATCCTAATAAGATTACTGACATTTAGAAATG